CGGCGTGGGCCCCCGCGTGTCCGCGACCAGCCTTCCCAGCGTCTCAGCTATGATACTGGCCAATTCTTTCAGCAGCCATGGATAGAGGTCATCCAGGCCTGCTGACCTGTACCCATTCAGCTCCTCCAGGAGCTCCTTAACTGTTTCAGAACTAGCCATAGGCGGACTCGTGCCATGTGGACATCCGTCAATGATTGAGGTGGAGGCTGAGATACGAGATACTGGGTCAGATGCACCTGTGGTCCATTTCCTATGTGTTTGTGCATGGTTTGTAGCACACTTTGAGAAAGACTGAACCTCAAATGGGGTAATCAGTATTACAGCTCCTGCCGGGGCCTGTGCATCTCTATTCTGCACCCCTCCCCTTCCCACATGGGCAATATTTAACTGCAACAGCCTGATCCTGCTGCTCTAGGTAGCTGAGGCCACTACACCTACTTAAAGACAGAACATTTGTCAGCCATAAACAGCTGTAATCCATAGCGGCTCTAACTCACTCTTGTACTGCTGCCAAGGTAATTAGCATACCATGTATTTTAAAAGAGTTATTACTATTGCTGGAGCAGACTGACAGGAGGTGCACACACAGCGCTAAGTTCTCCCTGAGATGGGAAGGAGTGCAGAACAGCAAGGGTCTGGGTTTACTGTTTTCCCAGGGACTTTTATTTATTTATTTATTTATTTATTTTTTAATTGAGGGTGCTGGGTCATGTAGCAGGTTGGCAGAGAGCTAGGGAGCCTGTTTACATGAAGGTTGCTGAGTGAAATCTAACCCAAAGCAGGAGTGACAAAAGTGCCCGTCCAGAGTGGAGGTGGAGCGAGATGGAGGTTTCAAGTCTGTACCTGGTACACTGGCCCCTGCATCCGGAGCCCTGTCATATTGTCATCCTTGCAGTAATGCCAACTTGGAGCATTCCAAAATCATTAGATTAGTTTAAAAACTATAAGATTTTTTTTAATGCAGAATTTGGGTTCTTTTGACTTGCTTTCTGATTTCTGACCATAAGCTTCTTATTTTTAAATGTATTATTAAATAAAAAGGGATGTTCTCATGTAATCTTGTGACTCCAGCAGCCACGGGTGGATCTAGAATTTTGAAGAGGAGGGTGCAGATGGTGAGGTGCAGCCTCACGTAAGAAATAAACCAACGGCTTTACTAATATGCTAGGGACATAGGGCTGTATCGTTCAGTTTAAGATTGAAGCAGAAACAAATATAACTGCATTGGAATGAGTTACAAACAGTCTGCAGGGCTGTGAAATAGGAGCTTCATTACCAGGAGCAACTCACAGACCGCAGAACTGCAGAACAGAGGATAGCTTGATTGTTGTAATATCAAGACCATTAAAAAGAGGAGAGGGTCATTAAGATATGACACCAGTTTAGCTCACTGCTCCAATACCAAAAGATTACATATCTGTTCCTGTTCCTACTGAAATCAGCAGTAAAGCTCCTATAGTAAAGTAAGGACTTTGGCTCCTGGGTCTAGCCTCTGGGCTGGTAGAAGCTAGAACAAGATGGGAAGGAAAATGAGTGGTCAGACTCCTACAAAGAGGTTTGGGGAACAAAGCCAAATAATTGTACTGTTTTAAAGAGGGGATGGAGTTGCCAGATTTAAAGCACTCCAGGCACTGCTCCCAGAACTGCTTAATCTGTCCACGCCTATCACATGGTAAGTCAAAGTTACACTGAGACAGCTTGCCGCTGAATAGAACAAGATGAAGTTACTGCAGTTTAGCTGCAGTTACTGCAGGATAGCAGCAGACTGACTAAACAGTTACAATCCATTGTGTCTGCTGCCACACTCTCTCCCTAGGGTATCTCTGTACCTCAGTTTCTTTTCTGTCTCTCCTCCCTCTCTTCTGCATCCATTTATTCTTAGTTTCTTTTTTGTCCCTGTGACAGTGGGATCTGAGATTTGATATTATATAAAATGCATATTATGTATGTTAATATCCTTATGCAGTCATATGATTCTGCAGAGCGTTATCCTAGCAGTCTTACTCACTGATCAGGTCTGTGACATTTTAGGTCTTGTTTAAATGCAGAGATTTCAAGGTCAATTTTGAATTTCTGTTCCAGCCTTTGGCACAAGCCATGAAATTTCCCCCAGTGATTCCAGCCTCAAGTCCCATAACTATTCACTGAGCTAGATCATGCATTTCAGCAAGTCATCCAGTCTTGGTTTACATGTGACTGTTTGGCGTCAGGCTTTCTTATCTGCCTTGACGAGGTCATCTGTCCAAACGACAAGGAGGGCTGTCTGTTGCAGAGCACATCTTCTTTGAAAGATAAGGGGCCAGATATCCACATCAGTTATGCCACCGTGTATTCAGAGCAACACCATAAATTTCAGGGATGTTACTCCAGATGTATACTGATGGAGTAGAGATCAGAATCTAGCACAATGTTTGAAATATTTATAAAGCAAACTGTTGGAGTCATGTTGTAGCTGTGAAAGTCTGGGAAATATCCAAGAGGCAATGAGTTTCATAGAATCATAAAAAATTAGGCTTGGAAGGGTCCTCAGGGGGGTCATCTAGTCCAACCCCCTGCTCAAAGCAGGACCATCCCCAACTAGATCATCCCAGCCAAGGCTTTATCTAGCTGGGTCTTAAAAGCTTCCAAGGATGGACAGTGCACAACCTCTCTGGGTAACCTGTTCCAGTGTTTCACCACCCTCCTAGTGAGAAAGTTTTTTCCTAATATCTAACCTAAACTTCCCTTGCTGTAATTTGAGATCATTACTACTTGTTCTGTCATCTGCCACCACTGAGGACAGTCCAGCTTCATCTTCTTTTGAACCCCCCTTCACATAGTTGAAGGCTGCTATCAAATCCCCCTCAGTCATCTCTTCTCCAGACTAAATAAGCCCAGTTTGGTCAGCCTTTCTTCAGACGTCATGGTCCCCAGCCCCCTAACCATTTTCCTTGCTCTCTTCTGGACTCTCTCCAATTTGTCTATGTCCTTTCTGTAGTGGGTAATATCTTTATCACTAGGTTTGTGGATGATATCTTGTATTTCATTCTTCTCCAGGTCAAAGCAAACTGAATCTTTAGCATTAACAACATATCCATACTTTTACTGTATTAAGTTGGTTGAAGGTAGAAGATTGGCTCTATGTTATAAATAACATGAGTATTTCATTTCTTACAGATTTTCTTTTCCATTTGCTCCTGCAGTTGTTACAGAGTAATGTTCCAACTAAATCCTTGGTCTGTTTATAATCTCTGGCTCTCTGTGCTTAAATACTGTATCAAGGTTGGTCAATCACAGATTTAAGAAAACATTAGGGAAAACATTACACTATTTCTGTATTAGGCAGACATGCAAAAAGAACAGTTTACACTGGGCCCCAGAGATACACGATGAAAACTGGTGAAACTCAGTACAGGCTTCCTACTTGGAGCGGAGCAGATGAAAAGGCCTCTTCTACTGTGAATAGAAAGCAGGTTGATCAACTTCTGAAGTAAATATGTTCTTTTTCCAAAATGATGTCCAGACCTGTATGTACAACAGGCAGCTGGGAGAATCCTGGAACATTTTAATTAAAATACAGGTGCTCATCTGGTTTAACTATGCAGACAATGTTTTATAAGCTAGTAATCTTGCTGCTGTGCTTCCAAAGTGTCTGATTATAAATACTTGTCAGGAGTTTTGCCTAAGGAAGGAGAGAACAGGATTTTCAGGATTGGGTCTTTTATCATCCCGATACAAAAGACAGAACTTCAAATGAATTGTTTGTAGTTTTTTATTAAATGTAATTTGTTAGCGCCTAGATCTCTGACGATGGGAGCTGTATAAATATCGATGCCTTTACACCTGCAAGAAGTTGCCCAAGTAGTAATGGATAGTAACAGGGATGGATGAAGCGATCTTGGTTATTATATCTGATTATGTGGAACCACTGGCCAGATACGCATGTGCTTGTTTTCCATAGAGAACTTCCTCATACAGCTTGTTTTCTTGGGTCCTGCACATGGCTCAGGGCTGGAGGTTTGAGTGTTGCACAGATTTTAGTCATAACCATGAGTACTTTCTCCTCCTCATTCCTTACCTTCTCCACAGAAAAGACCAAAGAGTTTTAAATCCCATGTTCTGTTTTGCGCATTAGGCTCTGTGGATATCCTCCCTTCTATGATGAAAATGACTCCAAGCTTTTTGAGCAGATTCTCAAGGCTGAATATGAATTTGACTCTCCATATTGGGATGACATCTCTGAGTCTGGTAAGAAATCAATGTAACTGCAGTAGCCATGTCTTGCATCTCCCTCTATATCACTGAATATTTCTACCATATGTACTTTCTTAGTGCCATAGTATAGAGATCGCCCAGTAATTGGAGGTCAGTGGGAACTATGTGTTTCTCCAATCCCAGATTGTTTTTTAAGCATCAAGGGACATTATTTCTGTGTGAGTCTCAAATTAGGTATTGTCTCATCCCAGAATAATGCCTAAAGCATTACAACTGGGCTTGTTGGAGAGTGACATAAAATAGGAATTAGGCCTTCAGCCCCAAGAAGACAGACTGCTTTAATTTTTCCTGCACATCAGAATAAAATACAGATGTTTTCATCTGTCTCTAATAATAGAAAACAAAATAACTCAGCTGTATTACTGAATGTATACCGCTGGTCTGATTGATGAATCTCTGTAATGTAAACAGGAAAGAAACAAAACCCAGGATTTAATGGCTTTCGAATGAAGCAGGACTAAAGCAACAGGAATAAAAGCAATTGCCAAGTCCCTGGGAAGGGAGGGTTTAGGGTTCAGTAGTTTTAGCACAAACCTAAAGTTAGGATTCATAAGTCTGAGACAGCTTTGCTGTGCAGACCTGAGCACATCACTTTGTCTGGAGCTTTGGCCATGTCCAAAATGGGGATAATGACATTCTTTTTATCTGGAGCTCAAGAGGGCAAATCAGTGTTCAGGAAACTTTCTGATAGTATGAAATGAAAATATCTCTAAAAGTACTGTTATTACCTTATTACTAATTATGAATATAGTCAGGCTTTCTTAAAAAGGGTTTTTTTTAATTGACGATATAATTTTAACTTCTTAGCGTGACAAGTTTTCATGCTATTTAAAACCAGTGTTCATGCCACTGCAATGGGCTCCTTAGAGGGAAGGGAGATATTCAGAAGTTCCTAAGAGGAGCACAACTTCAAGTCGACTCTAAATCTTTCAGTGGCTTTTGGAAATCTAGATTTAACTGACTTGAGGAAATTCATTCCACATCTGGCCTCTCCTATAGACACCATACACCTTGGATAACTTCTGTGCTATGACCCCTGTTCCCCTCATTTTAACATCCCCTGAGAACACACTCCCCCAGGTCCAAGTGAGTTGATAACAAACTCTACAAGAATGATAGTGAATGTTATTTTTCAATATAATAAAGATAACAGACCCAGTCAGGTGTGAAGTTATGTGAAGTGAATGGCGACAAGCTTGTGAGACAGGAACCTCTGAGTGTTTCCACCGCAACCCATTCCTACCTGCATTACAGCAATAATGTAGCATAAGCTCTTTGTGTCAGGATCTGTGTCTGTTTTTGCCATCTGTGCAGCTTTTCCCATGCTTGTGGGGCATCCTGTTAATTAATAATTAGATGGCTTAAATATGTGCTTGAAAACTTTATTGTCTGCCTGGCCATCCTAACACAGAGTTGGGCTGGGATACTGAGTCATCTTGGAACCTCCGATTGATAATTGGCCCCCGTGTCTCTCTTCTTGCTGTTCGCCATCCCTTTTTTCTTGCAGTCCCATGAGCAGCGCACGTCATTTTGGTGAGGTTCCTCTGTGCAGGTCAGTGGGTGGGGACAGTCACACCACCTTATGGTCCATACACCAGTATCATTTAGATGGACATGACCTCTTAGACACCACTTCACATTGCCTTTTCAGACTCTGAACCTATTGATTTTAGTTACTTTGTCTTTTATGCAGCTAAAGACTTTATACGGAACTTGATGGAGAAAGACCCTAATAAAAGATACACCTGTGAGCAGGCTGCCCGGCACCCATGGTAAGTAGCTAACTTGTGACTTCTGTTGTGACACCTCAAGAAATGGTTTTACATTACATGTTTGAAGAAGACAAATGCTGGTTCCACCATGCTGTACACTTGCCTTTGTTGAGTGACACTCTCTCTGATTGCTCCAACCCTTGAATTTGTATGTCAGCCCTCCCTTCTTGTTCAGCTACATCTGAAACTGTGCCCTCTGCCTGCAAAGATGTGATTCAATTTAAGTTTGTGCATAGTCCCATTAAATTCATTGTCTAATTACTCAGTCAAGTATTGCTCTCAGTTGCTAACATTACCACAGTGGGTTTGCATCAGCATAGCAGCATTAAAAATCAATGTTTCTAATGTTAGGCAACTACCTACATATAAGAATTTCATTAAAGTAGAATCGAAACACATCACAACTGCCCTGTGGAAAAGGGAGGTATCACCCCTATTTCACAGGTGAGGCAGATGATACAGCCTGTGTGATTGGCCCAACATCATGTAGAAATTAAACCCAGATCTCCTAAGACTCATGCCTCTACTCTCCCCACTAGGCTCAGGGTGACCAAGACATGGCCTGTGGGCTGAATCTGGCCCATGAAACAGTGTCATCTGGCCCATGGAGCTCCCCAAAGGTCGAGAAATTTGACTGTGTGGCATGTGCTGGCAGTGTTAATTACCACAGCTCCTGGAGCAATTAACATTGTCGCTGCTTGCCACACCACCAAATTTCTGAATCCATGGCGAGCCATGCAGGCCAGATCTGGATCACAGACCCACATCACCTAGCCCATGGGACTGCATGCAGGGCTGAGAATTTGGCCACAGGAGGAGCAGTGGCTCCTGTGGAAATCACAGCAATTAATATTGTCGGCACCAATTTCCAACCATGTGGATCAGAAGACATGGCCCTGGACTCCAGATCCAGCTTGCAGACCAGCCCTGTGCCGCTTATCTCACCCACAAAGTCAGAGCAGTTGGGCACCACTACACCAGGTGATCTTTCCAGCCGCATACAGAATTAGGGCCCTTCAGCACACGAGCCATTACTTGTCCTCAGAGGCACTCCTTTTGGGCACTCTACAGTAATGAAACTGCAGTGCTGGGGATGCTGGACCTGATGGCTGCATTTTTGCACTCGGGGTGTACAGTGTACTGTATATCCCTGTTGTTGCAGCTGCAGAAATGTTGTTCATTTCTCCAGTTTTCATGTAGCTGTTTGGATGGTCCAGTTATCTATCTATTCACTCACACCTCAGGTTCTTGCTCATACTCTCAGCCATTCATAAGACTTCTAAGCTTGAATAATAATTAGTTCAGTGGTTTGATGTTCTGCCAGCTGCACCTAGCAGGGGAGCTTGAGCACAGCGGGACATATTCTGCACTTGATTACACTGGACAGTCCTCCAGTGCAACATTGCACAGACTGCAGCCATGTAAAAGCACGGGCATAAAATGAACTTGAAGAGGGGTGATGGTAACCCCCTTTTGCAACAGATAGATATCGCTGGAATGTGTAAAATCATTAAGATCTCTGCCACAGCAAGATACGGGATACTAGGCCAGATGCACCTATGGTCCATTTCTTACGTGTTTGCACGTGCTTTCTAGCATGCTTGTGTGTTTCTAGCACTAAAACATGAAGTGATTTGTACTGCACAGTTTATAAATTATACTGCTTAGAAAAACACCACGTTTACCTTGCTTGCAACCATGTTAACTGTTAGCAAGACTTCTGGAAAGACAGAACAAATAATGTGGTTTAGATTCAGGGGAGCTGTGATCCTTCTCTAAAATTCACTGGTTTGTCTATATTTCATTGCCACCTTCAGTATATAAGACAGCATGATAGGGAAATCTCAGTTTTTACAGTAGGAAACTCAGTCTGCAGCAGATTATGAAGTTTTGATGATAATCTGATTACAAGGCACATTGCAGTTGCCCAGTGCTTATTAACCAGAAGATAACATTCATGAACATTCATTTTCATTCCCCCCCCGATAGCGTGTTACATTATGTAACATAATGAAATGAGGCATAATTTCATGTGTCCTATATGAGGGCACTTCATCCCAGTGCGCTAGCACATGTCAGACAAGGTTGGTTTCCTTGCTGATTGTAGTTCCAAAAACTAGGGTTATAATTTGCCCTCATCATTGATTAATGATGTGGGACTTTTGATGCAGAGCAATAGACTGTAAATGTGATAGTCCTGGAAGACTTGATGTAATGACTGTCATATCTAATGTGCCATCCCAGACATTGACTGCAGACTGGTTGTGATTACAAACTATTTAATTACAATTTAGAGCCCTTAAAAACACAGGAAGAAAAACAATAAAAAAAGAATAAAGCATTAGGCATGGAAGATGCTTTGCAAATCATTTGGAAAACAAATTATTTGTCTTCCTCCTCCTCTCTGCCCATTATCCTAAATATGGTAGAGATGCATATTAGCAATATTGATGGCTGACTTGAGCATGCATGAGAAATGTGGAGAAGTCAAAATATAAGTAATTGCAGTTCCCCTGTGTCCCTTTGGTAACTATCTATTATCTTTGTGACAAAAAGGAAATTTGGAAAACTCTGTCAGAGGCTTTTGTAAGAGGCAAAAAATAAGTGTTTTTTAATCATGAACCTGAGCCCCAGGAAAGAAACAAGTAGTAAGATTTGACATTCTAAACACAAAGAAAAGGACACGAAATGCAACTCCCAGTAGAGACCTGGGTGACCGTGCATATTTCTGAAGGACAGTTTCCCCAAGTTATTTCCAAGATACACAACATATGTGAATCCAAGTCCTGGCCTGGTATCATCTATGTTGGTTGCTGGAATACAGCAAAGAAACGTGGCAACTGCATCACGCAGCTCTCGAGTCCTCCGACAGGAACATAATGATACAAAATGTTTTCATTCCTTTTTTTTTCTTTTTATTTTGCATGTCATGGCTGGAGGCCAGTGGAAAATCATTGACTGATCCATAATATTTGATGTTTTCCACAGAATCCAAGCTTCCACTTAAAAACAAACAAAAATACATTTTTAGCCATTTCTGTTGCTGCCAGGCTGGCTTTACAAGGCAGTCATTTATTTATTCATAAAGCCCCTTCCCAGCTATGTGGACCACAGCTTACGGTTCAGCCCAAGAAGCAGAGTTGACAGAAACGTTAATTTATGTGCTTGGTCATCCAGTCTTTCCCCACAGCAGGGAAGTTTTAAAGTATGAACTTCCTTCCCCCCTCAACCCAACATCCCACTCCCTGAGCCATTAACAGCAAAGCACAGCTGGGAGCTTAAACATGTGCATGGTAGTGCAACAAGGGTGGAAGAGGCAGCCTCATAGTAAAGCAAAGTCAAGAGATGTGGGTTCCAGGCCAAGTTCTTTCCCAGACAGTGTGCTCTTGAGTAAGTCATTTAATCTCTCTTTCTCTCTCTCTTCAGCTTAACATTATTACCTCAACTTAAAATAAGGGCGGTAGCTATGCACTTTACTGAATGGCTATGCACCTAAACCACTAATGTGTCATGCCTTTCCGATAATGTGTCATGCCGGGCCAGTCTAGAATGAACCAAACATGCACTTGTTTTGTGCCTTCTATTTTGGACTTCCTCTGTGGTGGTGTGATTGTGCCTAGCAATCCTCCAAGTGAATTTTTCTTCCTATTTAGGGTTTTCACTTGTTCCTTTGCTATTCCAAACTCTGCAATAAGCAATCTTGCCTTCAGTTTGAAGGCAAGGGACAGTAGCCTCTTGATTTATTGAGTTACCTGACAGTGGAGAGGGAGAGTCTTTGTGATGTCAAGGTCTCCAGATTTCCTTTGGGAATTCAGCTGTTGTCTGTGTGACTGGAAGGAAACATATCATTGTGTCCAATGCCTGGACATTTACAGGACTCTATGAATGGAAGTCAGAGTCTGTGCCTGAGGCCTTATCTTCCATTGTGCCACACTGTTATAATGTGATGTAAAATAACAACTATAGAGGGAGAGCTGTGCAAGTTTTCAAATGTTTAGTCAACTTTAAGTGCTCTACTCATTTGGAAAACTGACCTTCTAAAGCGGCAGTGCTTACTTCTCAGGGTAACGTTGTGCCGAGTAGAGACATGCATGAGTCCAGGATTTTGCATGAAGATCCCATCAGAATGAATGATGCTTTTCTGCAGGCTTTATAGATGCAGACATACTCTAATGAGGAGCACTTACCCTGGTAAGCAGCCCCTTCATAGGACTCTCACCTGAGAAAAAATCAATTCACGTTTAAAGGATTGGGTCTGTAGAAGAATTTGAAAGGTAGAGCATCATCTGTCACAATACAGATTGTAAACTCTTGGGGTAGAGTATAATCCTGGGTCCCTTAATGTCAATGGCATTTTTACCATTGACTTAAATGGGGCCAGGATTTGACTCATTCATAGCTGGACGTACAATATGTGGTCCACTCTTGACACTATACAAATGATAAATAATTAGTATAACAGATGAGATGTTTCCATGCAGTGGCATTTCCCTGCTGTTTTTCTGACAAGTACAGGTCTCTGGGACCAGCCACAAGTAATTAGGCAGAAATTCTCCAAATAAAGAACTACTTTACAAAACATGTTCTTGTATGATGATGAATAAAAGCATTTTTAATCTATTGTGGAGAAATGCAAGGTGCTATACCTCAGGAGGAATGTTCAAAAACACAGATATAAATGGGTGACACCTAGCTGGGTGGCAGCACTATGGTAAAGGACTTGGAAGTGTTGATAGTCCAGACTCAATATGAGTCTGCAGGATGATGCAGCTGCACAAAAGTTGAATGCGGTTTTGGGCTGCATCAATAGAAGCATTAGGTGCAAGACACAGGAGGGGATAGTGCCTCTCTGCTCAGCACTGGTTAGGCCTCATCTGGTGCACAGTGTGCAGGCCTGAGCTTTCCACAGAGACACCAAATACGTGGAGGCCTGAGGGCCCTGGCCCCCCTTAGGAAGAGGACTGTCACCTGAAATGCATAAAACTTTCCACATGACCATT